AAATCTACCTATAAACAGGGCAGCAGAGTGGAACCACACAGGAAAGTTATAGCTCAACCTAATTATTATTTATTTTTTAATAAACCACTTTAAATGCCTACTTCAGAGTGCCTGGGCAGAGTGGTGCAGCTTTCCTCTCACTATCTAAATAAGGCCTCTAACAATGTTATCACTTTTGAAAACACATCTGTCCCGCAGCTCCTAGCCCAGACAATTGGCAGGTAACCAGTTAATAAATGTCTTCGCCAGACTGTTGAATAGGCTGGCCCTGGCTCAAGAGTGATGTCAGGGCCATTCAATGCACTATAATTGGAAAAACCTGGAGAAAGCAATCCTGTGTTTTTTAATAAATAAAGACTGCATTAGCAGCCCTCTGCTTTTATTCACCACGGTGTCTACCTTGCTCAGTAGCAAAGGGGGATTTTTTTTTATACTGCCGCTCACTCAGTGATTTCGACTTGGAATTTAATGCCAGTTTCCAGATGTGTCTCAGGCCAGGAAGCCAGCAATCAGCTTGGATAAAGCCTCCGGGATTAGCTACAGATCATCTTCTGACACACACATCCTTCCTGCACCCTCTCCTATGAAATTGGAGCACACCCCTTGTGCCCAAAAATAAAATAAAACAACCCAGAGCCAAGCAAAAGCCCCTGATTAGGATGCTTTGATCAGTTTCATGTTAAATGTGTGGGAATAGATTTAATTAATTCAGTCCATCAAAGCCCCCAAGGCACTGTTGGAGGGATCTTTACATCACCAGTGTTTATATACATATATCACTTTACCAACTGCAGGTTCCCTGTCTGCAGGAGGAGCCCCAGGTGAAGACCATCTCCCACAGCTCCTCACCAGGGGTACCTACAGGAGAGCATCAGCTCCCCTAGCTTGCCAAGGAGGGTGAATCCTCCAAAGGACTCACCCTCAGGGGAAGAAGCAAGGATGATAAATTGATAAATGAGTTTTCTGGGCTCTGTGTGAGCATCCTCGGGAAGCTAAACCCCAAGCTGGTGACATGAAGGATGTGGTTTGCATGGAAAATAATCCCAAGCAGAAGCATCCTGACAGCAACGTGCCTTTCAAACCTCCCTGCATCCCTGAGAAACAAATTACCCAATTTTCCCAGCCCAGAGGAAAGAGGCTCAGCCCCATGCAGCCAGGCTCCACGCTTGCCCCAGCCATATGGTATGTGCTGCAGGACAAGGAGGGTCCCAGCCCAAGGGGACCCAATTATTGAATTCCCAACAAAATAATTTATTTCTTTTTCCTACCAGGCATTTAAGAGGCTGTTGATGGGCCCCTTCTGCTCATGTGGTGATTCCTTTCATCTCTCCAACAAAGCACCACCAAATTAACACCAGCCCTCCTCCCAGCATTCACCCCCCTCCATGTGCTCCCGCAGTCGCTCCGCTGTAACAGGGCACCTGAGAGCCACTGCCAAACAGGAAAGCAGGCGCCTAATTGAAAGGGAGTATTTGGGAGTCACCCTACACAAAAATTAGCAGAGATATGCTAGGAAAATACAAGAGTGGGCATTAACAGTGGGCTTATCTTCTTTTTCCGTGACTCTAATGTTCAGGATGTGAAGAGGCCAAAAAGTTTCACACACTGTTCCGAGGAGCTGATCACAGAGAGGAGCATCCTCTCCTTCATGTTCACTGCTCCCACCAAAATAATTCAGGCTGATTTTTTTGGTATGGATGTCCAGAATTAAAATGTAAATGCACGCAAGCCAAGAAAACCCTGCACTGCTACTGTGCAATTTTAGAGCAAGTGCTGGCTCTTGGTTATGGGCTAGGAAGTCAAGTGCTGCCTGATTCCAAGTCACCTGTGTTAGATTTGGCAAAATCGGGAAGCTGTGCCTAGGGAGAAAGAGAACACGGATGTTTTCTGGCCCACGGAAGGAGCACGGGGGGCTCCGTTTCTGTAGGTGGGACTGAATTTTAAGGTGAGTAGCCAAAGATGGCTCAAGGAGGCTGGTTTCCAGAAGCACAGGGAGCGCCTCTCCCTGCTACCCACCCCTAGCCAAGATCCCAGCCTGGGACCATGACTTGTCCTGAGGGAAAGCGCTGGCCAGGGCCAAGAGGAGGATTTAGGATTAACTCTATAAAATCAGCCAGTCCCACCCCACCCTGCAGGCTGCCTGCAGAAAGGAGCAAAAGCCCTCGGAGCCAGGCAGAGGGACTCTATGGCAGGGAGCAGGCAGGCCTGCCTGCAGTCTCACTGGGGTCAACAGCATCAGAGCACTCCTGGAGCTCCAGTGTAGCTGGAGCCGTTTAGCTCCTCCAGCCCCAGCTCTGGGCTCCAGAAGCGCGGCCGGTTCTCAGAGCAGGAGTAAGCCACAGCAATAGAGAGAAAGAAAATTAAAACAAGGAGAGAAAGCAGCGGGAAGCCCTGCTGAGAAGCCCCCTTTTGTGTAAACATGCTCTGTCCTCAGACTAAAAATAAAGGCAAACCACAGGAAGGGAGTGAGTGCTTGGACAATATCCGATTTGGTGTGTGCCTGGGTGTGAGTTGAGGGAATGGGGAGAAGAGCAGGGGACTCCACCCAGTGCAACCACACAAAGGCAGCCGTTTAAGGCCTTCAAGATGGACAGGCATTCCTAGAGATTACTTAAATCCAAATAACTGCTGTTTGGCAGTTGCTCAGTCCTTTGGTATGTGCACAGCACTTGGAAATGTAAGTGAGGGAAAAGGCTGCCATGGCAGGAGAAGGAAAGGCAAGATGACGGCACGAGGGCTGTTTTATAGGTTCGGAGACCAAGACCTGAGGCTGTGAACTGAAACCCCATGAACCTGTCATAAAACAAGGAGGCAACCCAGATAAAATGTTAGCTGAAATCTTTCCAGCTCACAGGTCTGTCCTCAGAACTGACCTCTCCCTGCACACTGCCCTTCACATCTCAGTCACTGCTGCAGCTGAAGAACCAAACCCAAAACAACTGCACACACATGCAGGCTGTAGAGAGCTGATCAGTCGATTGCCCACCCCACAGGGGTCTCAAATGCTGGGCTCAGACGCAGTGCACCCCAACGTTACCATCAGCCGACTCTCGAGGGTGGAGCTTCACCGACACCTACCGCAGGCTCCTTGCAGGAGGGATGCTTTGCTGACGAGCACAATCACACCCAAGAGTAAAGCATCCATCCATGCCCTGCAGAAAGCATGCAAGGCAGAGCGAGGAGGTTTCCCGGAGCTCAGTGCTCACCGTTGATGCTGACACACCACTCAGAGGCCTTCTGGGGAAATGCAGGACTTGAGAGTAACCAACTCGGAACAGTTCTCTCACACAGAAGCGGTTTGTAGAAACAGAAACCCACAGCTCTACCCAGCCAGCCTTATGGCTGTAGGTCCCACCATACGGGCAGGGCTGCTCCGGGGTTCTGCTGTTTGGGGCTACGATCTGGCCACCATCAGCCCATGTTCTTCCATGCACTGGAAACCCTCCTCTCTAAGCAGCCATGGCTAAGCTGCAGCATCTGCAATGCTCATCCGCCTTATTTCCCGTCTTTTCCCTATTTTCTCTCAGAAGAAGATGGCACAGTGCTCAGTAGTGGAGGAAATCAAAGATGACTACATCGACCTCAACTAGGGCATGTTTCCTGATGACATCTGTACTATAATTCTCTCCTCCTGATCCCATATTCACCCTCCTACGATCAAGTCTCACGCCAAGCATTCATTTTCTCTCTACTAATAGAAAGGTCTCCAGGTCCACATTAAAGGTCTCCTCTGAGCACAACTGAAATGCAAACTCCCCTGTTTCCTTTAGAAAACAACTTCCTATGAAACACAGCTGTTAGGAGCAGGTCAGTGGCTTTCTCTGTTCAAACACACACTGAGCTCAACCGTCCTCCGTTCTCCTTCGCAAGTGTCTGCTGAGACTTTCACCAGCTTCCATTTCTTACATGCTAAGTGTAAAATGCAAACACCTTTCCACAAGGCTCTCTCCAAGAGGAGTGCAGCAGCTTCTGCCCCCACCGGCCTCGCACCCTGGACTGGCAGCACAAAGTAACACAGGAGCGTAAGACAGCTGAGCCATTGCTGCTGTGAACACCTACATGACCCCCCTCTTGCCATCGGCTCAGCACCTGAATCCCAACTGTAATTCCCAACTGAAGATCTTTCCTTTAAACCAACTTCAGCAAGTTGCTCGCAACCCCCCAGGTGCTGATGGACTCAGGGGAAGCCAAGAAAAAGGCGACACCTTCCGTTTACTCAGCACTTCGCTGCTGCTGGAGTGACCACTGTGGGCACTCACAGGTCCTTCTACTGAAGCTCACCGAGCCTGGAGATGTGTTTTGCAGTGAACACCTCTCGGGGATGAGGATGGAGGGAGGGGAAGGGGGCTCGGGGTGCAAGCAGGGCTGCAGGTGGGAGCCTTGAATCTTCACCTTGCCCAAGCTGAAGCTGCCACTGGAGGCTGAAGTCGGCCTCAGAAGGTTGACGGGGGAAGACCTGTACTCGCAGCTCCTTGAAATCCTAGCAGTCACCTGCCCAGCCCACCCAGCTCCCTCCTCTGCTCCTCAGCATGGTCCTGGGCAGTGAATATAGCGGTGTGCAGCCCAGCACAGTCTAAGTAACCTCAAGGATCTCTGAGGAGAAGATCTCCTTAATGCAAAGTCACAATTCTCTGTTTTCATGAGCACTATGCTTAATGCAGTTAGCAGAAGGCTACAAAGGGTGACTGCAAACGCATTCAGTCTCTGTTGTTAGCAAACCTCTGAGTGCAATACAAGTGTAACAACAGCACTCACTGAGAGTTCAATTCTTGAGGTTAAACACCCAAATTAATAAAGCATCTTCAGTCATGCCCTGGAAATACTTACTCCTTGCAAAATTACAAGGTGCCTCTAAAAGTTCAGTAGCAAAGGACAGGGGGCACATCTGGAATCACTGAACTCTACCTCTGCCCAGATGTTTAATTTCACAAAGACACCAAAGGAGAAAACCTGGGAGACTAACACCCCTTGATCCCAATGTGATGAACCCTCCATTTTACCAAGATCAAGGTGTGTAAAGGACCCGATGACAAAGTCCAGTGTTGAGACAGCCAGTAGGAAGAGCAGCAGGAGCTGAAGCCTGATGATCCACTTCACCCCAGCCAGGTTGATGCCCAGCAGGCCCAGCAGGACAGCCAGGGAGATCCCGCGCACTGCCCAGATGTTGCTGAGGCTCAGGACATCTGCTATGGACTCTGCGAAGCCAGTGATGTACATGGCACCTGCAACACACTGAGGAGCAGAGTTCTGTGAGTGCACCGTGGCAGAACAAGGGATGCCTGTTCACAGCTTCCATGCTGGGCTGAGGGGTCTCTGTTCAGACAGATAGACATGTGCTGTCACAATACAGTCTTCAATGTTACTCTGGTCTACAGGGACTTAACCTCACTACAGTAAGACAGCACACTGCTAGAGCAGCATACCTGCTGCCCAGGTAAACAGAGAAGGCTGGACACTAGGGCCGGTAGCCCACCAACTTCCCACTGGCTTTAAAATTTACCCCCCATTAATGTTCCAGGAGAAAACACACTGGATTCTTCAAGGCAGAAAAGGATGAGTCAACCTCTAAGTCTCTTCCCTTCTTCTGTTTCCCTGAAGGAAAGGGTCCCAGTCCAACACCTGCCTGAAGAACAGCAGTTTGCTTCTCCCTTCATAGCCTCCCAGGGTTATTTTTAACTCGGTGTTTAGTTTGGATGTAAAGTCTGATGTTTCACTGGCTCCCCATCTCGCTGCTGGAATGGAGCCTGCACTTTTGAGGATGGTGCATTATGCAAGCCATGCCCCCTGAGCTCCAGGGATAGCTGCTTGTTTGTCTAGCTGCAGGACTGGACATGCGCAGCTCAGAGTCAGGCCTCAAACCCCACTGCAGGGCAGCAATCCTAAATACCAGGACATTTCCCCCCAGAGGTTCCCATTAGCTGACATTTCAGCAACAACCCTTTCCAGTGCATGGCATCCCTGGCAAACCAGCTTGGAGCACACAGCTGCACACTGGCATGGGTGGTGTGACCTTGGGTCCTGCAACCCCATTATCCCTGTCCACAGATGAGGGATACACAGCACAGCTCCACATCCCAGGAGGACAGCAAAGCCCAGCTGGGTCTCAGCTCACCTTGGCTGTTGCAGCAGGAGCTCATGTCTGCAGGAGCCCCAGGGCACTGAGACACCACTCACCTCCCAGGGAATGTGGCCAGTCGTTCCCCATTTGCCTCAGTCAGATCAGGGAATGGTGAATATCCCCATTTCTGCCTGGACTCGCCTTATGTCTGAGGTTACAGTGCTCCATGAGCATCTTGTAGTGGGGAAGCAGCCTGCAGCTGGTGCAAAGCGCTTTGGGCAGAAAGCAAGGCCAAAGAGAAGGGAAAGGCATCAGCTTGCAGGAGCAGGCAAAGTGTTCCAAGCAAGCTGCCAGCTCCCACCCCGTGGCCCTCATCCACACGGGATGCCTAGGCAGGGGCCAGGACTGCCACAGCACAGCTTTTACAACCCTCAGGACAGGCTGCAACCTGACTGCTTTCCCAGGCATGGTCCGCTCAAAGAGTGGAAAATATGACAGGAAGGATTCTCATGTGTGGCCCATTTCCATATCTTGGCTTGTAACTGTGTTCAGTTTGTGCTTTATGGACACTTGCTTTTAACATGGAGCAAAAGGAGAAGGGGGGATTGGTTTTGGCTTGGGCATTGTTACCAGTTTTTGGAGATTGTTGTAAGCCAGTCAGTTAAAACAAACCTCAATTAAAAATGCTTCTCTCCTCACCACATTTTATACTGTTCATAACATCTTTATGGGGGCAGGGGATTAAGTTACTGCGGGTTTAAGATATTACGTTCCATTCTTTATGTTTACTACTTGTGTATTTCAGTGCTTCACCACCATGACAGCTCCTTGGGACCTTTCAGAAAAGCCAGAACTGTGACTTTCGGACCTCAAGAGGTCAATTAGCTGTGGCCCTTACTGCTGCCCTGACCTCCTCCCATACCAGCTCCACTGCTCCTGACTCCCGCAGAGAAGCAGCCAAGGTGTATTGGTCCTTAAGGGCATGGGGAGCATGCCAAGGCCAACCTGCCAGCCCACAGCCTCTCACTGTGCTTTAGGTGGCCACCCTGGCCTCTCCCACCCCAGCTTAATTTCAGTCTCCCACCAGCAAGGGCATGTCCTGGCAATGGGGGTAATTTGGGATGGGAGGGCATGTTCCACACAGTTTGCTTGCTCGGACAGCCAGTTCCTCCACTGCTGTGACCCATGCCAGGTAGCGTACTGCCATGTGCAGGCTTGCTCTTGGGGAGCACATTGGGGCTGGATGCACCCTGAGGTGCTCTCATATGCTGTCCAGCATGGTGGAGCATTACTCAGATTTTACTTGGAGCATTGCTTCCTGCAGCAGGAGAGCACATGATCAATATCTGCATTGCAAAGTTTGCAAATCTTCTTTAAATAATTTATTTTAATTACCTGTCCGAAAATATAAAGGAGGCCAATGGTGCCCCCTACTTGACCTCCAAGGACAGTAGAAATCATGGAGTAGACCCCTCCACTTCCAATGCTGCACTTCTCACACACCCCAATTCCAGATAAGACCGTCACCAGGGCAACCAGGATGACAAAGGACACCAGAAACATGCCCATTACAATGCCAGTGTTTCCCTGGAATGGGGGGAAAAAAAAATCAAATGATGATCAACTTACACCAACTCTGTTCAGACAGAAAAAGGACGTCCCCGCTTCTAGTCTTTGACTCTGGAGTCATTACAGAGTAAAAGAAACACAAACACACACACACTTATCTAAAGAATGCCAAATTCACAGTTCCTATTGGCATTCTTCTGAAGAAGACCTGTCGTGTCCTGGGGCTGCCTGACCTTTGCATAAGCTCCTGCCCCGTGACCAGGCTCCTGCATGAATCACTGGATTTGTGCTCTGGTCTAAAAAGAGCAGGTCAAACAATTCAGCCACCATGGGCAGGGGATCACCACGTATTTGCATGCTTTATAATGACATGCTTGAAAAAATCAGAACACTTTCATGACAAAAAGTAGTTTCATAATTGAACCCCCGTGGTTTGTGAAGCTGATTTATTAACAGCACCAAGCTCACATTTTAATTTTTCGGAACACTTACCTTCAAAAGCTCTGATCCTCCCAAACAATGAGATACCAAAGAACAACACCCCAGAGGCAACACAGCGTGGAAGACAAATAACCCTCTCGCAAACCAGCACACGCTGGCCCTTATCTACAGGACAATATACCGAGTGGCAGGTGGCTCTTGCTCACCCTGTACTCAGGGCAGTTTCCTGCAGGGGATCCAGTCCTACTGAATAAAACCCGAATGCTTCCTGCTTGGACAGAGGGAGGGTGCCGGGAGGAGCTGCTGCACCAGTCACGGGCTCACCATGGGGTGAACAGCAAAAGCCTCTGAACAAACCCAGCCACAGGTCCCTGTTGGCAGCTTTAAGCACCAGCATAGCCCTCATTTTGAGGGTTCAGTTTGCCATTTAGGTCAGATTTTCAGGAAGAGAAGGCATTCAGTACCTCCAAAAGCTCTTAAGCGCCTCTTTGGAGCTCGGGACCTTCCACCCCCCTTGCACACGGCTGTAATTTATTTTCCAGAGTCAGAGGTTTTCCATCCCTCGCACTGCAGCCCATCTTCCCCTGCTGACAAACCGCTCAGCCCAGCGCAGTGATTCCAACTGTACGATCAGAAATCTCCTCCAGTGCCCAGCGCTTCATTAACGCCTGGCCTCCCCTCCCCTGCCTTTACTCGTATTACAGGCCATGTCCTCATCCTTTCCAACCTTGCTCCAGCAGTGCTGGTTTCTGAGGTCATGCTAGCCTTGACAGGGCTTGTTTATCACCTGCACTGAAAGGCTGCTTCCCAGCTTTGGGGTGGGTTGAAATCCCAGCGTTTTTTCTCGTTTCTCTTTTTTTGTGAAACAACAGAAAATATATCCAGGATGTTGCTATCATCAGAAGATCCTATTTTGGTTCAGCATCCCGCTGCCTTGACAGGGGCGTTATCTGGTCAGTAGGGAACAGAGCCAAGGTTTTGTTATAAACACAGCTGCTGGCTGGGTCAGCACCACAGCCTGCTACAACCCAATACTAGTCTTTAAAAGAACAATTGTTCTTTTTCTTCAACAGCTTACCCTCAGGTTAAAAGGGTTAATAAAACTGGCATGTGTCAGAAAAGGAAATGAAAAAGCAAAGCACACATACACAAACATACACATAGCCTTGGGCTCTTCCCAAATCTGCTAGTGGCACCAGGCTATGGCAGCAGCTAGGTAATGGGCAATTCCATGGTTTCCACAGAAGAAAGGGTTAACACAAAAACCAGGGAGGAAAGCTGGACTCACAGCAACAATAGCAAATAGAAAGCGGAAAGAAAGAGCCCCCATTAAACACTGATGCTTACTTATGCATGCGTGCTGGAAGGGGTTAGTGCAGAGTCACAATAGTTGCTGAACATTTTGGCCAGATTAGGGTGCTCTGGAATTGCAAAGCTTCACCATCCCTAGTCTGGAAATTTATAGCAAAAGCCTGACTCTGCGAATGGCTTCACTTATGCCTGTCCTCTGCCAGGGATGCCCTCTGCCAATCCCAACTTCTCCTCCCTTCCTTTTATGCTGTCTTCCAGCTGTTTTAGATTTTCTTTTATTTACTGGCTTTATTTGTATTTGTGTTTGCTTCAGCAGTAACTTGCTTTCAAAGGAGACATGGAGGAAGTAAGATCAGGAGAAAAAGGGAGCTAGGAAAATCACTCCAATTTCACCACCACCATGACTGCAGCTCCCCTCAAAGCTATTTTCAATACAGAGTGCAAGTGTCTTCCTGCTCCTTTTGTCACCATGTCTGTTACACGAACTCATGCCTGTGACATGAACTCTGCCTGGAACTAAAATCCCACATGTCCCTAGGGGGACTTTCAATGTTTTGCATCAGGAGTTGGAGCACAGACACTCTTCCAGGCTCTGACCCTCAGTGAGATGATATTCTGGACGCATAAACGGAAATCACTTCAATAGCGATGTCAGTTCCACCCGACTGAGGAGTCTCCACATCAGGGACTCCAACACTGACACATTTGGAAGAGACCTACTTTAGTGGTGTTGGGAAGAGATTGAGTAGCTGTAACTACAGCACTACACCTGAAAAGCAGTTATTTTGTCTCAGCAATACAACACAAGGATGTCCCTGTTCATTGTCAAGGTTGGTAGTTGTGTTTTTCTTCTTTCCTAAATCTAAAATAGACAGCCACTTACAAAGACCACTTCAGCTTTACATTTTAGTGGAACTTTCTGAATCAGTACAAAATACCAGAGGTTGTAAGCAATGCCTACAGTGAACAGCACAGAATCCAAAGCACTTGGGTGGTGATGGAGATACAAGGTTACGAGGTGGGGAGGAAAATGCTTATTCATACATTCAGCCAAGTCAGCACTCACCACAAGCCATCCTGTCCTCAGGAAAAGAACCACTCCAAAAATGTTGATCATGCAGGAGGTGAAGACACCATCCCATGTTCCAAAAAGCACTGGCTCCCACATAAAGAGCTGGATCTTCCACCAGGGCTTGGTCTGTGTTTGACATACCTAGAGAAAAGCAAAGCCTTTGTTTTTACCTCTTGTATTGTGTAGGCAGGCTGCAGAAGAGGTGCAACAGCCAGACACCAGCAGTGGGATAGCCACCAACAGCTGCTAAGGCACTACTTTGCTGCAAGATGTCTCTAAGGTGAAGGGGCAGCAGAGCTGCTGGGAAACCTGGAAGAGAGGGTTCCCTGTAATACCCTATTTATACTCTTGTAGGATAAGCAGCAATAGAATCCTACTCAGCCTCAGCAAATTTAACCCCATTGATGATATTATATGAACCAAAGAGACCAGTCAAGAGGTCCTTTACAGAGCCTACAGCTATACATGGTGCTTCTCCTAATGTCCCTGCCAAGCACCCCACCAAGACAAATGGGGTCCTCAGTTCACTAGAGAAGTCTCTTAGATGAGATGACAAATGTGGCTGATCCAGCTGGGACTGACAGAGTAGGTTAAGGTGGTCTTCCCATCACACAGTCATCTCTGATCAGAACATGACATTCCTGGAGGAGACATGGTACACTAGGGGCACACAGTGAATTTCAGAGCTACTGGAACCGAGACCTGAAACTCCAGCAAAACTACAATTTTCCCATTGCAACCGCTCCTTCCTGCCTTCTGGAAACCAAGTCTCCTCTTTCCCTTTCTCATTAATATACCTCTGGTTTACACAGCAAACCAAAGGGCAGTTTTCTTACTTTCGGTAAACACCAGCCACAAAGGTGACCAAGAGGTGCAGAGACCATGGAGATGGGAACATGGGCTATGAAAGGAAATGGCCCACCGACATACCTGCTGTGCTTCCTCATGGAACAACTCTTGGACATATCCCTCACTTCTGGCACCATTCAGGCTGAACATCATATCCTTTGCTTTGCCTCGGCCTGCCCAACTCACAGCTCTGAGACTAGGAGAAGCTGGTCCAAGAAGGTCAGCTGTTCTCCTCAGGCAAATTCTTGCAGTGCTGGATCCGCCACTGTAGAAGATTCATGGTTTTATTGCACTTTACTGTGGAAGCAGGAAAGACAGAAAACACGACTATTGCTTTCTTAGTCTGCAGAAGCACAAGGCGATTACCCAGACAGTGCCAAGAGCAGCTCGTAGCAGATGCTGAACCGCAGAGTGACACCCCAGCAAGCAGAAAGCAATAGTCCCCCAGCACCCTTCCAGGGACTGCCTGCAGCACAGGCTCCATCATCAGCCCTACATTTAACAGCCCTTGGTGGCCCCTTCCGAATCCATCCACACCGCTGGTGTCCCCAGCATCCTGCAACACTAGCTCCACAGCTCCACGGTGTGCCGTCTGGGAAATGCATTTCCTTTTCGCTGGTTTTAAATCTGGTGCCTGGTAATTTCATTCCATGCCCCTGTGCTCCAGTGACACAGGACACGTGGACTATTTACTTCCCAGCACCAATAATCACTCTGCAGCCTTGATCACATCCCCTTCAGCTGTATCTTTACAGACTAAAGTCCTGACAATGTAACCTCTTCCAACAAGCAAGCTACTCACCCCACTCTGCCTCACTCAGCATGATGCAGAGATGGAACTGGAGCAGCTGTAGGTGTTCACCACCACAAACCCACACTCTGTATTCCTGATGCTCTCAGCTACATCCCCTGCACCAATGTACAGGAGGAGCCTTTACTCATGTCATACCCATCCTCGGAGATACAGCTCTCCTCCCTGCAGTGGCCTGACTTCAGATATATACCTGCCACAGGCAGTCTCCAGCAGTGGGTCAGGCTTGATTCAACACCATGTAAGTACCAAGAAACCAGCATCAGGCTAGATTTCAAAGATAAACTAGCACACCTCCACAGAAAGGGAAAGCTCGCACAAGCATTTCTTTGCCCAAAACTGATGGTTTCTCTCCCTATTGTGGTGTTTTTCATATGAAGTTCTCCCACTAATTGCAGAGAATTGCTTTTATACACCCCCCTCCGGCTAGGTGCAAGTCTTAACTTCCCCCAGATGTTCTTGTGATGGCCACCAACCAGTTACCCACACTCTCCCACACCAATTGCCAACAGAGCCTTTCTGGCCATCCCTAGGCTACACCATACCTAGGTAAGACAAAGATGCTGCAGCCAGCAGGGTACAAGGCACACTCCATGGATGTAGAGAGGGCAGACTGTCTGGACCATTGGCTCTCCTGGGGCCGGTAGTTTCCTGGCAGTGGAGCCCTACATGTTTACCAGAACCAACCATGATCACACAAGGTTTGTACCAATGGCTGGACACCTTACCTGAGACCAGACATCCAATTTACCATGGGCACAATGTAGGAATCTCTGATTCCTCAAGCCTGCAAGCTACAGAGACAAGATAACCAACAGAAATGTGCTTTTTCTATTGCTCAGGGACAGAGACATAGAGAAACCACTTTGGGTCCTGAGGACTTCTGCATCAGGGTCTGAATCCCAGCTCCCAGATCAGCACTTTCATCATCCCACTTCTATAAATCTACTTTGAAACACTCAATAATAAACAACCAGTGCTGCCACTGTGGTGTTTCAGCTACAGAAGGTCTCCTGCAGCTGGGGTACAATGGACAGAACAGGAGGGTTTTCTTCACCTTGTCCACATGGCCGGTTAGGTAGCACCAAAGCCCTTAGAGTTCATTGATTCCCCACTGTTCCCTTCCCCTTCTCTGAAGCAAATAACCCTTCACAATATCATAAATGGCTGCTGTTACAGGGACACTGCGGCTTCAAGCAGGGCAGAAACAGCAGGAGTGGCCAAACTCCAAAGAAACGTATCTCATGTTTTTACGCAAATAGCCATAGTAATAAAACGAGGGAGAAAATGCACATGAAACAAGATTACAGTTGAACAGCCATATTTTCCTACTACTTCCTAATGCAGCCCTTCCTTGCCAGAGATGCCACTCAGTAAAAGATCCACTATAACATGTCATGCATACCAGCTTTATCTGGATGTAGAAAGAACACGGAGGCTGGAGCCCTTGTGTCCCTGGCTCCCCTAAACCACACCACCATGGAAGCCCAGGAGTTGGCCCCAACCCTTTGCAGCAGCTGAAGCCGCTCGTTCGACGTGCCTGGTGTGCAACCATGGGTAGGCTGAAACTTGCTAGATACAGAAAGAAGGGCTCCAAGCACGTATTTCAGACCTGGCGCTCCCCTTGCAGGAAACGTCACCCTCCTAGACATTTAAACCCCCCTATCTCTAAACTTCCTTCCTTTTCCTCAGGGTTAAACCCCTTCTCCTGCCCTTTCCACTCAGCCCTGCTCTGGCTCACCTTGGTGTGAGAGGTTTTTCCCTCCACAAATGCAGGAAATTGCCTCTCCACTATTGCTCCTCTGGGGTGTTTCCAATCGCCTAAAATCTTACTACCCAGTTCTGCCGCTGTTTACATCCCTCCGCGATGTATGGATCCGTTCAGCCCTACAAGGCAACCGCAGCAAACACAGGAGTGGGTATAAAGCACAGAAGCCGGAGCTGAGCAAACATGCCAGGACAGCTGCTGTACACGCAGCCACATCCCGATCCATGCGACGTGTGCAGATTTTTCCTATTTCAGGTCTGAAAGTGGCGAGTCCTTGGGGCAGAAGCCTTCCTCTTGTCCCATGCCACATGCTACCAGCGCAGTGTGGTTTCAAAGTTGCTGCACAGCACAGGGATGTTTTCAGGCAGTATTACCTATCCAGGTCACCAACCCAGCGGAAGCTTTTTCTGCTCTACACACCCATCTGCCACGGAAAACCAAACAGGCACAACTTTCCTCTAATATAAGTGAGCCTCTAACTCGGAAGTTAATTGATATCACTTTTCCTAAAGTTCCTGCCAAAGACATTAAGCACTCTATAAATTAAAGAATGGCTGTTTTAATCTTTCCACACCATTTAGGGCTCAAGGGAGCAGAAGAGCATTAGCAAACCTCCTCGCAAAAACATTACAAAAGCTCTCCCCCTTCTCCTGCAACACTTCTATATTTAATTACAAAACCAGATTCCTATGGATGAAATATCCGTGCCCTCTGCATCCTTCCAAAGCAGTAACATTCTATTAATCGTCACGCTAAAGCCATTCCTGAGCTAAGTGTCACTGCCCCGAGCCGCTCACCAGCTGCCTAATTTGAAAGAGGAGAGGTTAACGCCTTCCCGAGCACAACTGCGTGTGGTCCCACGACCTCCGAAGCCTCCGTCCCTGCCAGAGGAGGTAATTCCAAGCCTCCCTCCCTCAGGAGACACAGCAGCCAACAGCGCGTTAGTTTTAATAAATCCCCTCAACTCCTCTCCAGCTCAAGTTCTTAAAAACATCTAAGTTAGGGGACTGAGGAAGGCAGGAAATGAAGGGGACCAAGGCAGCCGTCAGTGCAACAAAGGTAATGCCACGCATAGAAGCACCTGGTTATCCCCAGCTATTCCCGGTTACTCATTCACTGCAACAGCCAGGACAATTACCCAGCTCTTTGGGGCTTTACGTACCCCTGCGGCGTAACTTAACGCTGTGGAACACGAGAGCCGGGAAACACGGCCGGGCTCACCCCGGCAGCTTTAACTTCCCGGTGCGCCCGGAGAGCTTCAGTATTGCAGAGGCCACGGCAGGGACGGCACCGCTCCCCAGAACCGCTCAGCCCCTCGCCGCACCGGGGCTGTGGCCACCCCTGCCCGGGAAGTGCCGCCAGCACCTGCTCGTGCCTCCTTCCTTCCCTTGCTGCTGCTTTCCTTATCTTTTGGCTTTTTTTCCCTTTTTTACCTTTTGGTGTTTCTTGCACTTTTTTCCCCTTTTAAATTTACTTTTAATTTTCCCATTGGCTTTTTTTTCCATCTGTTCTTTTTTCTCTTTTTTTCCCCCTATTTTTGCCCCCCTCTCCCCCCCATTTTTTTTCTTTTCTTCCTGTGGTTGTTTCCCCCGTTTTCTGTTTTTTTGCTTTTTCTTTTTTTCTTTTTAATTTTGCCTTTTTCTTGCCTTTTTATTTACCGCCTTTTGCCTTTTATTGCGTTATTGCCTTCTTTTTGTCATTCCTGTTTTTTCCCTTCGTCTCTTTTTGCCCTCCCTTTTCTTTTTTTTTCCCCTTTCCCCCCTTTTTATATGCCTTTCTTTTTTTTCTTTTGCCTCCCCTTTCCACCTCTCCTCCCCGTTATTTATCTTTCAGCTCTTATTTCCCCCGTTTCGCCCCCCCCCCCCCCCCCCCCGCCCTCGAGGGAGCTGCTTCAGTGCCGCAGCGGCAGCAGCCGCGGGCACAGCCACGCAGCACCGAGCCACCTCCACCTGCGCTGCCCCCACCGTTGCTGCCCGTCCCACCGCCCCGCCCCGCCCCGGCTCGGCTCGGCTCACCCCCGCGGTGGGGTCGCGGGTGCCGCCGTCGCCCCTGCCCCACTCACCTGGCGGCGCCCGGGCCCTCCCGCTCCGCCACCTCCCCCGGCCCTCTCCCCGCAGCGCCGCCTCCGCCCGGTGCCACGTCTGCCCGGGCAGCGCTGCCCCCTCGTCCCGCCCCGCCGCGCCCCGCCCCGGGGAGCCAATGCCGCCCCCGCTCGGGTCCGGTGGACAAGCGGGTGCCAAAGCGAGCGGTGTCGGGTTAGGAGCGGACTGTGTCCGCCGCATCGAACCTCCGGGCGCAGGGCTACACACACACACACACACATACATAACTTGTGCAAGTCGCGGCTGCCGGATTTCAGCGGCAGGGCAGGCTGCCGATCGCGGCGAAACGACGCTCCGGTTCCGCACAGGAGCGGCTGCAACCTGGTTGCAGTAAGAACTTAGTTCAGCGTAACTTCCCTGCTCAGGGCTGCCAAGAAACCCCGTGAGCAGGTGTAGACAAAGCTCCAGGTGATCTGAAGGCCCGAATCTTGGATAGTCTCAGTGTAAACAGGATCAAATCTGAAGCTAGACAACCATCCTTGGGGCTGAAAAGCATTCACTGGCTTCATGCATTTCCAAAATGAAGTAAGCCAAAATGCTTTCAGGCTGTTTTAATTCTCAATAAAGTACCTGTACAAGACATCCATATAACTTAGTGAATGAACCTGCTTTCTAGAGTGTCCTGCCAAGCGTGAGCAAGCCTTTACTCATGGACATAAACAGTGAGGATGAGTGAGAGGCAAAAAAGAAAAGCAAGAGCTCAGAGAAGACAGGCAGGCAGAAAAATGCAAGGGTTCAGTGAAGACAGAGGACTACTCAAAGGGGATGATGTCTGAGGCAATCAGCAGATACTCCCCACAAGATATCCCATTCCTGGAATATTTCAGAAGTTCTCCTCCAGATCCCTTCTCTTTAGACACATTACAGCTACCAGGGAGCAAGTTTAGCCAGATTCCCTCATCTTGAGGGCATGTGCAAACTCTGTAAGTACCGAAGTAACCATCTTCGATTTGCTGCAGAACTGGTGAAGTCACTAATTCTTGAAAGACAGTCCTGCAGGCACCTCTGCCCCCACAGACACATCTAAGCATCAGCAGTTTCCCGGGGCAGTTGTCACAGCCCACCCAAACACTGCTGAATGAGACCCTGCCTCACCACAGGAAAGAACAACCCTGC